GGGGAGGCCCAAACAGTGAGAGGCCCCCGTAAGAAAAAAAAAAAAAAAAAAAAAAGTAGTTTACGAACAGTAAATACATAAAGGCCAAGAAAGAGGAAGGACAGGGTGCTAAAGGAACAGCTAGAGAGGCAGGTAACTCATATTTGGAGGGTCAGAAAGAAGTGGTCCCTAAGCTAGTACTTAAAAACTTAGTCTCATGTGAGTTTTTCAGTTAAAGAATGGGAACAGACTGTTCCAGGTGACGGGAACAGACAGCAAATGTCCACTAGCGAACAAGAGAGGGGGCCACTTTGTGACTAGAGGTTGAAGCATTAGGAAGGAAAGCAGCCTGGGGGTAGGTTTGGGGAGACTTGTGTTTTAGAAGGATTGCCATGTGGGAAATGCACTGAAGGACGCAAAAGGTAGGATAGACCAATTAGATGTCATCCAGCGGGGAGCTGAGAGCAGCCAGAATGAGGAAAAGTCTGGGAGGGGATAGAGTCGTGAATGGATTAGAAAAACAGAGAAGAAAGGGCACTCTATCCTAATCCCCTTGTTTCTTTCCTGTAGCTCCTGGCTAGTGCCAGGCAAGGATTTCACAGAACTTGCAGCCAAAATCCCCACTGTTGTAGCTTATAGGCTGCCAAGTCAAGTCTTGAGGGAACTGCAGGAAGGGGGAAAAAGTTGAGATCACCCACCCTATTTATCAGTGAGAAGCATTCCTGTCATGGATCTGGTTTGAGAAGAAAACAGCACTAAACCACCTAGTCATTTTTGTTTATTTTTGTATAATTTTGTAAAAAATTATAATAGAATTTGAAAGAACTTTAGAGGTCATTTTATCTCCGGTCCTTAGTTTTGTAAGTGAAGAAACCAAGGCAGAGGCATGGTAAAATGACTTGACCAAGGTCACAATTGCTGCACGGTTGGTGACAGTGAACTTCACCGGCATCCCCGCCTCTATCTGTAGCTCAGTGTTCCCTTAGTGCCTCGGGCCTTGCAAAGGCCTTTTGATGGCCCAGAGATCATGATCCAGCTCTGTGTGTTGAGGGCCTGTTTTAGAAACTAAATTTAAAGAGATTTCTTGTCATATATTGGATTTTCCAGTTCATTAATAAAATGTAAAATACCTAAAGTAAAATGTAGAATCTCTAAACTCCTTAACAACAGTAGCTGCTGGGTGGTTTAATCTCATTGATTTGCACAAAATAGGCATTTAATAAATGCATTTTGAATGAGTCATTCATACCCAGCTAACCATTAATCAGCTTGTTTCTATTTCATTTTAAAAGATTTTTATCCCTATAGCACCTATTTGTTTCCTTAGTGTTTTTATGAAATGATCTGTGTCTATTTTTACATCATAGTTTCTTTTTCTTAGAAAACTGTATGTGCACCTTAATAATGACATTGCTGCATTCATGTTGCTTTGCGCTACTATTTATTTTCTATGAGTGTGTGCTAGAATAATAAATACTTACTGGTTAATTTTGTTTTCTCCTAACTTCCTTTACAAATGTAAAATGTCCTTGAGACACATTAAATGACTTGTTGAAAATATTCCTTCGGAGTCAGTAGAAGTGCTGGAAATTAAACTGAGGTCTTGACTTACCATCCATTGCAACGTTCCACATAGTTCATTGTATTTATTAAGTTCGTGTATTTAATAGGTCATGTTATTATTCAGCCTCATCGCTGTTAGCCTCAGGATTTTATCATCTCCCTTTAAAATATCTGACCCAGGAGGACTACCTAGGGGAAAGTTTGTGGAAAAAAGATGCAACGTGCTAAAACTTGGTATTCCTTTGATTAGGAGGGCCAGAAAAAAGAATGGAAAGAAAAGATAGGAGAAGAAAGGAAAGGAGAGGAGGGAGGAGAGAGAGAGAAGAAAGAGGAAGAAGTTCCAAGTAAGAAGTGACCGTTTGCTGTGCTGCTTTGATGCTACTGAAAGCCCATCTCCTCTGTGTCCTGTGTCATTTGTGTGTCACAGTTTTCCAAGTGTAAGTCAAGAAGATAGTACAAGATTGCAACTGTTTGATGATGGTTTCTAATTGTACTTTTTTCCTAGAGACCTTTAGAGAAGGCATGGCTTGCAGAGATGAGAATATGAAGCGGACAAACAGAGTGCTAAGAATAAGCCAGTTGGATGCACTTGAACTAAACAAGGCCCTGGAGCAACTCGTTTGGTCCCAGTTTACTCAGTGCTTTCATGGATTTAAGCCAGGGCTGTTAGCCCGCTTTGAACCAGAGGTGAAAGCATTCTTGTGGCTTTTCTTATGGAGATTCACCATCTACTCTAAAAATGCCACCGTGGGACAGTCAGTTTTGAATATTCAGTACAAGAACGATTTTTCCCCAAACCTGAGATACCAGCCACTGAGCAAAAATCAAAAGCTGTGGTATGCCATCTGTACAATCGGTGGGAAGTGGTTAGAAGAACGATGCTACGATTTGTTTCGAAACCGTCACGTAGCATCCTTCAGGAAAGCCAAGCAGTGCATGAATCTCGTGGTTGGACTTTTGAAGCTGGGCAGGTTGATTAATTTCTTGATTTTCCTTCAAAGGGGCAAGTTCGCAACTTTGACCGAGCGTCTGCTGGGCATCCATTCTGTGTTTTGCAGGCCCCAAAATGTCCGAGAAGTAGGCTTTGAGTATATGAATAGAGAACTCCTCTGGCACAGCTTTGCCGAGTTTCTGATTTTCCTCTTACCACTTGTCAGTATCCAGAAGTTGAAAGCCAAGCTCTCTTCATGGTGTATCCCTCTGACCAGAGCTCCAAGCAGTGACAGCACGCTGGCCACCAGCGGCAGACAGTGTTCTCTGTGTGGGGAGTGGCCCACCATGCCTCACACCATAGGCTGCGAGCATGTTTTCTGTTACTACTGTGTGAAGAGCAGCTTCTTATTTGATGTGTCCTTTGCTTGTCCTAAGTGCGGCACAGAGGTTCACAGCCTGCAGCCACTGAAATCAGGAATCGAGATGACAGAAGTGAATGCCCTTTAGAAACGAAAATTGTTTCCTCTGAGGAGAACTGTATTTTGTCTAAATCCTTAGCATGAATCATCCTAAGCATACTATTTAGGTATGTCTTATGAGGACATGTGCTTCTCAGCCACTGCCCTCTGTTCCTTTCCAGGCACAACTAAATTCTGCTCACACCGGAAACCACATGATTCTAAACATATGATATAAATGGTAACATTATTTTTTTTAATCATTGCATTTAATTTTTAATGTCAAGAATAATGGATAGGGCTTCCCTGGTGGCACAGTGGTTGGGAGTCTGCCTGCTGATGCAGGGGACACGGGTTCGTGGACTGCCTGTATCAGGCCCTGTTCAGCGAAGCACCGTAGAGTCCGGTGCTATCATTGTGCCTTCTGGAGGTTTTTCTGCTTCCGGATCAACAGGCACAGCCACGTGGATGCGGGTGAAACAGCCCAGAGAGCAGGTCATGCTGGCACCCACCCCCGTTCTCTTGGGATTCCCACCCCAACATCTCCTCTCAGATAAGGTGCAAGTGAAGGGTGTGATGAGTTCCACTGGACCATGTCTTGCCCCTTCCCATCCGGCCCCCACACGTGCCCACATCAAGGTGACATCATGTTCACTGTGTAACTGCCCCAATTATGTTTTAATGGTGTAGTCAGTATTTCCTGGGGAAAAAAATTCTTTTACCACAGGTCGATTGAGGTATTAGATGAGTAATAATGAAGATTTCAGTCTTTTGAAATGAGATTTGGTAAAATCCACTGAGTCTTTTTCTTCTTATGCTCATCCCTAACCAAAGTAGCAATAGTACAATAATAATACTGCTTTTCCGTTTCCAAACCACTTTCATAACATTGTCTGCTTTAATCTTACCAACATTGTCAGGTAGTGGTTCATTTCCAACTTCTAGAAGAATCTGATGCTAATGACTTTTTTAAGATTACATAGCAACTAAATGACCAAGCTGGAACTTGAGCCCAAGTGCATCTGATTTTAAACCTGGTCTTTCTACTCTGTCGCAGTTGCCAGACAAGAATATAGAGCAATAGGAAGGCTATTCTACTTTAACAAACTATGGTGCATAATGGACAGTGTCTGTTCTATGTTTACAACTAAAAGAAGTCACAAAAATGACTAAAATGTTGGAAACTAAAATCTAAAACAAAAAAAACAGAGAAACAAATTATTTATCTGGAAGAGCAAAGGCCAAAGAGTAGTTAATAGTCTTCTGCTCTAGTAAAGAGTCTTCTGTAGGGAGGAGATGGAGCCCAGCTGTTCTTAATCTACCCTGAGGCCAGGCCTGGGGCAAAGAAAAGGAAAGCAAAAAAAAAGTTAAACTGTAACAGAAGGGATAAGAAATAATTTTTTGATAATAAGGATTGTTAAATATTGGATTGGTTAGAGAGTGTGTTAAGTCTTCTTTTCTGGCAGCCATTAAAAATTCCTGTCTTTACTAAATGTCCATCAGTATGATTCCTCCAGAAATGAGGGACTTGAAATAGATGATTCCTCTGAGAAGCCACTCTCTCTGAGCAGTTTCTCCCTACATACAAGTAAGGAACCTGAGAAGAGATCTCTGCCCTCAGCCTCCAGTTCATCTAGATGCTCTCATCAGTGTTCAGTCAGTACAGATTCACTACCAAACTACTCATTCCACTGCATATGGGATCAGCAAATCTTTACTAAGCAACTACCGTGTGCCTGTCTTTGTGGTAAATTCTATAAGATTACTAAGAACTGATTGTGACTCTAATATCTGAAGATACATAAATTGGCACAACTGGTGCTCTAACACAAGCCATCTTTCTCATCTGACCCTCAACTGAAAAGAATAGCAATCCATCCAGTTCAAGTTGGGGGCAGGGAAGGGGTGAGGGGAGGGGACTGGTAGTGTTGACTTGATATCGATGTCCAGTATGATCTGAGCTTTTTCAGGAGTACTTTTACAAATAAGAGAGTTTCCCTTATCTTGCTGACCACAGAATATGAAACCTGGGGGAAGACGCCGAGTTGTTGACACTGTCACAGTAGAAGAATTGCATATACCGTATTCCCACCTATCCTGAACGATTTATAGAATTTTGCATGAGGAAAACTGAGTTAGGTATCAGAGTCACTTTGTGGGTGGCCAGCAATTTGAGAAGCAAGTATGAGGCACTTTCCCTTAACTAGTTTATGGTCAAGTTAGGGAGAGAAGATGTATTCACACAACTGAAATCACAGTATAAAGAGTTGAGGGCTCAAGCATGTGACACGGACAATTGCTTTCACAGTTAAAAATGCTGACAATGGGAGTTGGAGATAATTGTGAAGGTTTCGTGGGAAATGTTATAACTGGGTTGGAATGTGAAGGGCAGATGGTTGAGGGCGGTAGGAGGAGTTGCTGGGGAAGGTAAGTGTTTTAGGTACATGAGAAAAGGTACAAAGGCAGGATAGTCGGCAATTAAAGGTTCTTTGGTGAATAATGGGTTATATGATTACAGAGATGGAGACAGAATTGAGCTAGGTTAGGTCTAAGAAGTTTGTACTTTATCCCAGGGGCTATTATAATGAGGTAAAAAAGACATGATTTGGTAAATAAGAATAAATAACTTTATAGAGTTTGGTTTGCTTATGAGGTTTTTCAAATAATGTTTTAGTTTTTTCTTAATTACATTAATGTTATGTTAATTAGAGATTTGTAAACTGCAGAAAAAAGTGAGAAAAATAATCACTGATGATTTTTTACATAAATTTTGGCATTTTTTTCTATTGAGATAGTTTTAACATTTATGGAGTGTCTTTGAGAACCTTGCAATACCATCTACCTTCGCTAATGCCTGACTTGTCCATCACCTTGCCTGCTTCTCTTGTGCAGACCTTGGTGGGGGTCTTTATAGTGAGAGCCAGGACAAGACTTTATCTTTGTATCCCAGGCATCTGGCAGGGCTAGGATGTATTGATGCTCATAGAAATTGTGGAGTCTGTGAATGGTCTCAGTCTCACAAGGACTACTTAATAGCAGAAAGAGAAAGCCTGAATCAGTGAAGATTTGTAAGAACCTCTGTAGATCTAGGAATGAAAGAGTGGGAAGACCAGCATGCAACATTGAGCTGTATGGGTGATAGATATGACCACAAAATTATGAATTCAGCTTGGAAATGGACAAGCCCAGTAATTTGCAACATCACCTGGGAACTTGCTAGAAATGCAAGTTCTTGGCTCCCACTCCGGGCCTGCTGAATCAGAAAATCTGGAACTGAGGGATGCAATCTAACAAGGCCTCCACATGATGAGTGCCGAGGTTTGAAGAGCGCTAGACTAGAAGCACAGAGAGACTACAGGAGTGTGATGCGAAGACCCCAGCAGAGAAAGATTGAAAGGCCAAAGGTTTGTGTTAGCAGTGAACGTAACCCATGAAATGCCACAGTAGCTAGAGTAGGAAACCATGAGAATAAGATGATGTTGTTACAAAGAAAGTTGAATGTGCTGTAAATGGACAAGATCTACCTATCTTTAGACCACTGCCTTCCTGATCGTAGCATTTAAATAGATCAAGTAAATTTAAAATAGATTGGTCCCATGAGAGGGGGCCCACACTCAAAATCTCCACCCAGATTTTCTCTGTCATATCCCCATAACTGCCTACTGAGCTTTTCCACTTAGCTGTCTCACAGGAGCCTCAGATCTCTAAAACTACACAGATTTATTATCTTTCCCTTCAAATCTGTATCTCTGCATGTGTTTCCTATTTCAGAGAATTGGACTACCATCCACTTCATTACTCAAGTCAGTTATTCTTGGCTTACTTCACACTAAGTCGTGTCCATTCTTCCACCTCCAAGCTTTCAAAGGTACCTGCTTTTCTCCATCCCCATTGATACCTTTCTAATTTAGACCATCATTAGTTTCTCACTAAATCATGTTAACAGTCATCTTAATTGGTCTCTCTGCCTCCAGTCTTTCAGCTTCTGATCCATTCTCCATGTGGCCAGAACAAACTGTCTAAAATGCAATGATTAGTTCTTTGCTTACAGCCATTCAGTGGCTCCCCCATTATCTTCTTGATAAAATGCAGCCTTCTGAACCCGGCTTTTAGAGCCTTTAGCTTCCATCTTTTGCTTTCCTTTCCAGCCTGATCTTTTGTCCTGACCCCTCCTGTCCTTGGCACCTAGCGTTCCCTCTGTTGGGGTGGTTTTCTTACCTTCTTGTACCTGCCTGACACTGCTGATCCTTCAGGTGGCTGCAGAGATCTTGCCTCCCCCCTGAAGCCTTCTTGGACCTTCTGAGGTCTAGTTGCGAGCAAAATGTTCTGAAGTTCCCCTTGCACATCACCTATCACACCTTATTGTAATTGCCTGTGTGTTATTTTGTGCAGCACACTCTTCCTTTCCCCCTCTTCCCACTCACTAGATTATAATCTCCGCAAGGGTTGAGACTATGTCTGTTCTCCCATTTTATCACTGGTTCTGACACATTCATTGGGAAACAGCAGATGCACAAGAAACATGTTGAAAGAAGTAGTAATCAACAGTCTGGATTTGGTAACTTGAAATAGTTTTAAAGGTTTTTGGATGGGAATTTGTATTTTCTACCCTTCACCCACCCTAGACTTTCATGTTCACTACTCCACTCATCTCGTATTTGCAGGAGGCGATCTGTGTATCAGGCACTGTGCTAGTTGCTAAGATTCAGCTGTGACAAGACTGAATATTCGCAACAGGGCTTATCCTCTAGCGGAGGAAATAGACAATTAAAAAGTAGTTTACGGGGCTTCTCTGGTGGCGCAGTGGTTGAGAGTCCGCCTGCACTAAACCACCTAGTCATTTTTGTTTATTTTTGTATAATTTTGTAAAAAATTATAATAGAATTTGAAAGAACTTTAGAGGTCATTTTATCTCCGGTCCTTAGTTTTGTAAGTGAAGAAACCAAGGCAGAGGCATGGTAAAATGACTTGACCAAGGTCACAATTGCTGCACGGTTGGTGACAGTGAACTTCACCGGCATCCCCGCCTCTGTCTGTAGCTCAGTGTTC